AACTACGCAGGGTGATTTTAGCGCTGTTCATCGTGGACTATATTGCTGTCATTGTTCATTTTAGTCAAACCATACAGTTTGAAAACGAGGCGCGGCTCCAACTAGAAAACAATGTTTTGATGCATTGGATGTGCTGAATGTGCATATTAAGGCAGTACAGGAGGAGGTGCACATTAATAATCCTCCAGGACTGTAACATGCTTATGTTTAACCCAAACAATGCAACAATTGGTTCGGATCAAGGTCAGAATGCGTTCTCACCACAAATGAAACACACAAGAGTTCATTTGTAACTGGACTGAGACTACCTCTTCAAGAAGGTCTCGGTCCGGTTGTTTTGGTGCGCACCCGAGTGTGATTGCTTTGTTCATACCTGCCCAAACGAACCGCACTTAGGGGGCAAACCAACATGAGTTCAACTGAACCAAACAGGGCAGGTGTGAAAGTACCTTTAGACTGACACTGATTTTTCTATTTGGCCAAAAACTAATCAAGGCAGCATTTGCTTATTGCTGTTTCATTTCATGTATGTGACATGAGGGTTTTCTATCAAGAAGTTAATTTAAATGAACTACTATAGAAAAAACACATATTTATAGCTCAGTGTGTGAGTTCACAAAATCAGGCTCCCATTCATTGTCTATGGAGCAGCTCCAGACTTTACACTTGATGATATAACAAGCCTGAGACTCCCTGGTTTCTGGCTTTAAGAGAGAATAACTCATTTTCCAAATATTGATTGAACTTTTCTAGGCCATGAAAATAACATATTGGAATTCTTAATTCAGACGGTGTTTCCCTTTGAGGTTTTACTGTTGAAGATAAAAGAAGCAATCTGAATGTCGCCTTGGGCTCCTAATCGAGAGTATAATTGATTAATCAATACTTGCGGCCCTTTATCATCGAGCTAATTTCCAAGCCGACCTGACAGAAGAAATTGGTCTTCTTGGAAATAATTAAAACTTGGGGCCATAACACAAACCTGCAGAATTATCCAGGAGACTCAGGTGTGTTTCCACCTTGAGAAACATTGTGGGTATCACTGGGAGAAAACTTTTAAATTAGAATATACTGCAGAAACCAGTGGCTCCTGCTACTTTACAATTAAGTCAACAAAGTCAGCAGTTAACAGAACGTTATATGTATTTACCATATTGTGATATTTATGTAATTTAATTTGCTCTCAGTTGAGTGGTGATATGATTATATTCCTTTGTTCAAGCTACCACAACATAATCTAGTTTCAACCTTCATAATGTTGGAAATGTTGAGAGAGGTGGAGAGGTTTCACACTCCACTCGCAGAACTATACTTAGCAGTTCTGTCGTCTCTTGACACAGTGAAAAGCAGGAGATGAGAGGCAGCTGAGAGAGGTGTCATATTTTAATTTGTTTTCTCTGTGGGAAATGAAACGATCCTAGCAGTCAGCTAAATGCAAAACGCACAGAAACACACCAGCATGCGTGGGTGAACAACCGGCTCATTCAGCACACACATACACTGCCACATCCACATGCTGAATATATCCCTAATCGAAAGTTGGAGAGGTAAAAACGTCTCCCCAGGAAGTTTCACGTGGGATGATGTGGTGATGATTTTGTGTTTTGAAATTAAGAGCTTTTATCCTCCCATGTGATTCTCGAGTGCACCGGGAAAATTAGAGAAGCTTTGAACGGAGAATTAAATCAAGGAAATCAACTTTATCTACAAGTTAGAGGACTAGTTCGACATTTTGGAAAAGATGCTTATTTGCTTTCTTGTTGAGAGTTAGATATACCACTGTTATATCAATGCATTCAATATAAACTGGAGCCAGCACTGGGTTAGCTTAGCTTAACATAAAGACTAGAAACAGAGGGGATGAGCTAGCCTGTCCCTCTTCAAAGGCAAAAAAAATCTGCCTACCTCTAAAGGCCCAGACACACCAAACTGACATCAAAGAAATAGTGGCATTGAAAGTCAATTGCTGTGTCCCCTTCTGTCTCTGTCAAAAACTTGCACAAGACTACAGCCAACGGCCAACCAGTGCATACGTTCTGCACCTGCATGAGAGGAAATAACTCTACACCAGCAGACAGCAGTAGTCTGTAATTGTCATTCAAAAAGGGACACCAGAATATCGTCATGACGCTAGTTAGCCAGTTAGCACATTAACAACACAATCCCCTTTTGAAAGAAAGGCGCAAGTGAGTAGTACACAAATCATCACAAACTGTTTCTGCTAATGAGCTCAATGGCTAAGAAAAATAATCTTACCTTACAGAACATGTTTCTTTTGATCTCACTCCCTCTTGAATCTACCTCTTTGTTTACTTTCCTCACTTTGGTTTCTCTTCTTGTGCGCTGAGCTGAACTGCCAATCAGAACGATTTTTTATTCACTGACAGGCTCCATCAATTCAACATGGTGATAGGCTGAAAAAAAGCTGACAAAGGCCGACAAGGGCCAATAGTGTGCTACACATTGCAAAGACTAGGATCTCCCCGACAGCCCAACATAGACCGACAGCTGACCTTGGTGTGTCAGAGCCTAAAAGCCGACTAGTGAAGTTATATCTCGTTCTTTTGATCAGTATAAAAAGCAAAGTGTAAGAATGACACATTGTGGTTACATGACTATTTTTTGTCCAGGAGCAGTGACATTTTGGAGTCTTGTTGTCAGAGGCTGAGGCTTCCTGGTGTTAACTGCTCAGCCTTTTACCCCAGTGTTACCTCTCTCAGTGACAGCTTACCAGCTCCGAACCGTAGTTGGGAACACACTGGTTTATTAACACTGATTTTTAGCATGGCTCATTTTCAGCTGGTAAACAGCGTCTAGCTTCTGGACCACTCTGCAGAAGGAAGGATGGCAAAGTGTTCTGGTGCCGTTTACCAGCAATGGCTTTCTTGCAGTCTTCACCACAAAACAAAAAACATGGCCTTCTCATGAGGTTTAACAGTAGAACTGGGCTGATCCAGACACTTAATTCTACTGCTATCATCACTCTTTGCCGCCTGCCATCTTCACCATGTCACACCGAGACAGACCTGCTTCCCTCCACACACACACTATAGAGTACACGTCACACCCTCACAGGTTACCCACAAGGCCATTGCCCTTAAAGGGGAAAAAGGCTGAGCTGGTAACACTAGCAATTAATGGAGACTGCAGGAAGTGGCTCGCAGAGGCGGGCCAGGAAATAATCTGGCAGCTAAATGCCAGATTGTCTTAACTTTTGACTGCGATGACTAGCTTTTTTCCAGTCTTTATGCTATGCTCACACCAGCTATAAAGAAATATTCTGAGAAAATAGTGAAAAATGCCCATTGCTGAGTCCAAAGTGGCATCTTAAAATGATTTGTTTTAACCAACCAACAGTTTGCAATAAAAAAAAAAACATTGACGATGATATAAAACAGAAAAAAAAAAAATCAGCAAATCTAATATTTTGAGAACCTGTAACCAGCAAATGTTGGCATTTTCAATTGACAAAGGCCTTAAAGATACACTACGCAGGATTTTCCTAAAAAACAAGACTCGTACGAAAGCACTAGAAGTGTGTGGCGTTGTATTTATCCACACAGACTCTGCCCTCTGCCTGAATTTTCTCATCTTCTACTCATTTTACTATGATCTGCACATTCCTAGGCGCAGCATGCAGGTGAGGTCAGGACTTTATAAAAAGGAAGCAGCCGGGTGCCACACCGTAAGCTGCACTCATCCAAGAGAAAGCCACAAAAATCACGAATATGGCAAGGTGAAACACCACATGGACAAAACCGGGGCTGGCTTTGACTTTCACTGATGATACTGTTTAAAACAGTAGCTGACGATTTCAACATTTTACACCCCTAAACAATGAATTGACTAATTTCTGTCAATCAGCTACTCAAGTTATCCACTGATTGCCGCAGCCTGTTTTTATTCCTATTGTATTCTTCAGAGCATCTCCTTGAAATCCCTCTGGCTTATCACCCTATCAATTGATTTTTCTGCGTCTCTTTATCCTGTGTCACTGCAGATAAATAGAATATAAATAACTATGTGAAAGCAGCAGTATGTTAGGTATTTAAGAAATCATTATGAAAGCTGCAACTTGTTCTAGGTTCCCAGAAGACATTAGCTCGAGCCGGAGTCATTACGTGAATGAGTTTTAATCCATTTCAAAGGGAAGAAACAGAGAAGCTGGGAGATGATTTTACACCAGGAGATGGATGGGAAACAGAGACCTTACGCAGGGTGAGAGAAAAGGAGCTGGAGCGAGAGTGTGGTGGTACCTGAGCAGCTCCCTGATATATTCATTCTTAAATAATGATATGAATATTTCGTTGAGGTGGCCTCTAACTTTGCGCTGGAAATCACAGCGAGTCCCCTGCAAATTTAAAGCCCTGGGGCTTCAATTATTCAAGTATCATTCCTTTAACAATATTTTTCCATCACAGAGCAATTTAGCCAGGTAGTAAAAATCGGGACTTTTCTGCCTCGTCTGCCTCTGAAAGCACTCATCTCAGCGTGTGAGGAGAGGAACACATCCACATCTAGGACAGAGACACCCACTGCTCGAGCAGGAGGGAACAAAGACAGCAAGGAGTGGGAGAGAAAAAAGGGGGGGAGGAAAAGTGGATGATTTCATTTTAAAATAGTCTAAACGGAATCCAGTCATCCGTTTTTTCCATATGACTGACAACGAACGCATACACTCACTCTGGTCTCATTTTGTGTTGGAGTGTCATAATTACCTGCTTTATTTTGGATCATTTATGGTCGAATACATAAGAAACAGGATGTGAGGACTAAGCAGGGGTTAAATTCAGTGCAGATAATGCCTTAGAAAAGAAATCTAAATGAGCTGTAGAGCTTTGAGTTGAAGATATGAGAGCTGAAACACTAGTGAACACTTTCAGCTACACAGTTTGCCCAGAGCGAGATCCCCGGGGTGCAGAGCAGAGATCAGAGGCACCGCACAGCAAACAGTGTGTGTACAGAGAAGGATAATGCCAATAAGCAAACACACCCCTTACCTGTAGAAGTCACCATCTGGGGGATAGCATCCTCGGCCGTGCTGCAAAGCCCCCTGGGAAAGAAAGCAACAAAAAAAAGAAATGACATCAGTGTGGCTATAATATCAGGAGATGCCTCGGGCCCCAGCAGCGATGTGGGCAGCGCTGCAGCTATAGTAAATGAGCCTTTTTGTTTGTTTGAAGGGGAGTCAGATGGACCTGTGTTCACTTGCATCATAATTCATTCACTGAATCATCATATCATTCATCACTCCTGCATTTATCAGACTCACATTCACTTTCAGGCAGTGGTTATACATTTAATAAATTGGTTTAACTGTAGTTTAGTAGCATGTTTGAAATTTAACACATCATGTTGCATTAAATATGCATAAAAATAGCCATAATCATGCAAGATAATTGCTAATAATCACTTTCTATTTCTTTATCATCATCATGCAAGCAGCTCACTGTGTATAATATGGAAGATAAACACCTTAAATCAATGTCCTCACCCTATTGTCCAGATTATGTGACTAATTCAGGCTACACATCATTGCAAGTGATGCCAAACTACAGGATGTGCAATCTCTTTGCAAGATTAACACGTGAAGATAAACACCTTAAATCAATGTCCTCACCCTATTGTCCAGATTATGTGACTAATTCAGGCTACACATCATTGCAAGTGATGCCAAACTACAGGATGTGCAATCTCTTTGCAAGATTAACACGTGAATGAGTACTTTTCTGACACACACATAACTAATGTTTCCACTGAATGGGCGGCTGGAGGTCAATTTAGCAGCTGTTACATCACTGATTAGCCTCATTTCTATCCAATTAAGCGGATAAATTGATCCGCAGAGCCGCTAAGTGGCGCCCAGATGATTGTAAAAGCCTTACCTTTTAAATTGGAGAAAATCTCAACAACCTGTTTGAGAGATGGGGTCTTCTTTTTTTCTAATAACTGCAGTCCTGTTTCCTTCGTCCACAACACACAATAAAAGTCCGGTGGTTTCCTCTCCAGCACCGGTCATTAAAGACGCTCGGAGCCCCCCTGCGCTCGCTCTGCAACCGGAACCATCACGTCATTATCCGCCGTCGGTGATCCCTTCTTTCCCCCCGGTTCACTCACAGCCAGGTGCCAGTGAGGGCCTGTGGGAAATCTCATGGCATCATCCTCCTCCTCCTCCTCCTGTGTGAAGCGCTGGAGACGGATGAGACGAGGCGGCGGTCCGGCTGCTGAGTGGCACCGCTCGGCATGGCTGCGTCCTCAGCGCGGAGCCCGGGGGGCGGTTTGGCACCCGCTGCCGCCGGTCCCGGTGGGGCGGGGTGGGAAGAGCAGAGGTGGGAGCGACAGTGTCAGCTTTACACCGTGTGATATCACTTTACCGGGAGGATGGGAGGGAGTGGTGGTGGAGTGAGGAGGGGGTCGTCACCATCACCATCCTGAGATGAAAGCGTAAAGCTGCTAGACGCTGCCTTTGTTGAGGAGTTTTTCCATATGTTCATCCACAGCCTTGATCTCTCCATAAAGTAAAAATATATTTCTCCACTCTGCAATCCGTACGTGGAACTTGCAAGAGCCATCAGCCTCAGTAAATTTCAGCAAAGACTGATGGCGCAAATCTCTTAAACCACCTTCCACATTTCATGCAAATCATTTAATGCGTCTCTGAGACATCCTGACAGACAAAAGCTCCTCAGTGAAGGTGGAAATAATTCTCAGGTAAAGGTAGTATTAAGGACTTTAAAAACTCAGTAAAGTAAAATTAACTTTTTTAAAGATACCAAGTTAATTTGGGATATAAGAACAATGTGTGTGGGATCTTACACAAGCTACAAATTCAAAATGGGAATTAAAAGTTCTGGTAAGAAATCCACTGCAGGAACGCCCTCAGGCTTTCCAGTAAAACCAAATGACAGTCTGATCTGCTGACCATTGAGCAGCTTCCCCGGAGCAGTTAGAGGTCAAGTTACTGACCAAAAAAAAACACTGCAAGGCTGCACAAAGCAGCTGCAGTAACAAGATGTATTTAGTGACATCCCAAAGCACAGCAAAAGTACACTTAAAGGAGCAATATGAAGGATTTAGTTGTATCTAGTGGTGAGGATTGCAGATTGCAACCAGCTGAAATACCCACAGAGGTCTCTTCCTCTCTGAAACAATCACACCAGGTGAATTAAAACAGTAAAAATACTAAATAAAGCAGTTTTGTGTTACAAATTAGTGTTTCTCCAGTGCTGTTTGGCTCATTGCAGACAGGCCGCCAGCCCAGCACCTGCTGTGTGCCCACCTTTTTTCTTTGATAACTTAAAATCCAGACATGTGGAAGGTTTTTAATGGGAGCTGTTTTATTCGCAGAAGTCTCCTCCTCCCCAAAACAAACAAACCTTTTGATTTAAACTGATAAAAACACTGAAAAAAGCAGCTAAACAAAGTTAAAAATTAGTGTTTCTCCTATGCTGTTTAGTACGTTTTGGATTGGCTGCCAACTACGATGGCTGATGCTAATAGCCCTATCTGGAGGCAGTGTTTGGTTTGTCCGTTCTGGGCTATTGTAGAAACATGGCGGTGCAACATGGTGGACTCTGTGGATAAGGACCTGCTCCCAATGTAGATATCCATTTCTACCAATATATCCCCCCTCAATCCTACACACTGCAGTTTAAGTAGAAGCACTGAAATATAATACTGTTTATAATGGTTTATAAGTTGTAACTTTAAAGCTTTATTAATGGTTAAAACTTGTTTGTTGATGCCTTACAGATCGGTTTTCAGCCATTTTAATTCAGGTTGTGTAAAAATGTCTCTTGCAGATTTTTACCAGCCACATTGTCTATTTAGTGCCTCAGCTACACTAATCAGACAGACAGCTCCAGTGCACCATCTGACCTCTGACCTTCAGAAAAAAATGACTATAAAGGCCTTTTTATCAATGAATTATTTAAGATTTTAAATTGTAGATGACTTATTAAGTATTCTCATAAGGCATGACCAGTTATATTGACTTCAGTATTTTTATAAACCCTTTTCTGCCGAGACAATGAGAAACTCATCAGCATTTATGAATGACTTATTAATATTTACTGATGGTCACCTGGCAACCAAAAAGTTGATCTTATTGTTTATGAGACATTAATCACTTATAAAGCCATTAGTTACATTTTATGATACCTTATTACTCCATGATTATTGTGGCCAAAAGAGTTCACAGTAACAATATTATCACAATATCTACAGAAAATTAAAAATAAAGGTATTAATAATGATGCTATCAGTCAATTTCATCTTTAACTTTGTCTATTGTGCATATTGTCTCATTTTTGGCAAATGAGTTACACTCAAAACGCAAGTGTAGCAAGGTGGAGAAGGTGTAGAGAGAGTCTGTGACCATGACTGTACAAGAGCATACGAAAAGAGCAACTGCAACTAATGAGAAGTGCAAAGACAACCAGATGGCTCTCAGGGAGGAAGACAAAGTGCAAATGAAAAGAAAGAGAACTATTTTAAGAGGCCCTGGATTATTTACACTATCTTATATTGTGTCTGTAATTAACACAATATCAAATTTTCATCTTTTATTATCATGATTATCGTCAATACTGGTGTACTGCATCAGCCCTAATTGGTACTATAAAGGTTGATTTCACAATAGTCTGAGTGGGGGGAAGTTCGCTGCATAGATCAGCCTGTCATTGGGCGGAACGAGCCACCCGCTGAAGTCCCGCCCTACCACCTCCGGTTGTGTAGCAGTTTTCAACCATTTTCAACACGTCCTTTACTAACTTTTGCGGTGTTTGATCTTGCGGGGATGTAGCCATTTTTCTGCCATGGTTCGCATCCTGTAGGCGATATTTTTGTGGGCGTGTTACACCAAAACCTGTTTCCCCCTGGCAATATTTTTGCAAGCGCACCGTTGCTGTGGCACCGCCAAGAACGATTGTGATTGGTTGAAAGAAATAAAAAAAGCCGGGGCATTTTTTCCTCCAATCTTAAATTGAGAGTCGGCGCAGCCAGACCCTTCTTTTCTTGAGAAAGGTCTGGTGAGCGAGACTAATTTCACAATCAATCAGAGAGTAAACTACGTAAGAATGACACTGAAAAGATGTCAGGGTCTCTCAAAGATACGCAAAAAGGTTACACAAAGTTCGTGCTACAGAGCTGCTAGGAAGTCCCTCCTTTATATCACCTTTGCATTATTACACAGGATAGGGTTGTGGCAACATACCGGCTTCAAGGTATACCATGATATGAAAACTGACAGTTATCATACAGTGTACATTTGCTTAACTACAATATACAAAAGGGAGATTTTTCACACACACACACACACACACACACATATACTTCCATTAAAAAAATTATTTCAAGTTTCAATAAAAGTAATACCAATTTTGTTCAACCATGAATAATCCTTCCTTTTCAGGATCATTCTTACTGATAATAATATTTCTGTAATACCGTGACACCACGAAACCGCAATATTTCCTGAGACAATTATGGTACCCTGAAAATCTCACACCGTTGCAACCCTACCTGTAACACAACAGCGTTGGCCTCTAGTGTGACATATAACATATGCATCGGCACCACTTTATAATAAAATAATGATGATATAACATGGCAATAACGATAATTTACCATCCCTGTTGTATGGCGGCTGATCTGGTCCTCTTCTCAGAGGGTAAGGAGCTCCCAGGCCTCATTGCTTTTCCATTTGCGGACATTTTCGGCCGCTGTTCTTTTTCTTTTGAGTTAGCTGCTAACAGCTACTTTTTAAAACTCCCTCACACATAACAGGTCATTATGCTCACACCTGTGCTGCCCATGATCCCGTCCTACTGGCTGTCCCTTTCACACAGAAGTTGTTTTGGCACTGTTCCTACCTCCAATGCCAGCCTGAAGTTGAGACCACTCTGTCCCCCTAATCTGCGATTGTACCTATTATACAGAATGGCGAGGTGGCTTAACAGTGTGAAGTTCCCTCCTTGAAGAGGCAGAATAAAAGGGGCTAAAGTCAAACAGTCTGGTTGAGTGCAAGCTGCTGTCCATGGTGCTGAAGTTCACAATGAGAGAAGGGCAAACACAAGGGCACTCATCACCTCTCATACATGTAACCAAAGGCTTACTTTACAAATCTGGGTTACACTGTCTCCCTCTTTCTAATTCCTTAAAGCAGCTGGAGCCAACCATCTTACTGCTCCCGCAAACAAGATCCATCTTGACCATAATGCCCATATAATGAGGAGATTTATCCTGGCTACATTTGTTTAAGTATAATCTTGATCCAGAAAAAAAAGGGCTCATCTGTTTAGCATTTCTCTACCTCCACGTGTCTCTGGCTAAGTTAAGCTAGCTTTATAGTGGGGGGCTGATGAAGGCAGGCCAGTGGGGAGTTCTAAGATTACTGCTCAAATTGAATAAAGGAGTCGACACATTACAGCGGCTTAGATGATACACCCCACTGCACTGGTTAATTTAAAACCAGCACAATGTTATACACGGCACACAGAAACACACACACACACACACACAAACAACACGCGTAAACCTGGCCAGCCCCTCTCTTTAACACCGTCTTTTCCTCCATTTACCTTCCCTCTCATTTTCTCCCTGCTACACACAAACACGCACACATGCACGCACACACAAAACAACTCACAACCACTCAGCATGGACCCTGCCTCATGACTTGAGTTCATTATTGCCTTGGCAGGGTTCCTCAGATGAAATTAGAATGACAACAGGAATGACACAGAGTGTAGCAGTGGAAAGTTTACACAGGGTGAAGTTGAGAGCGTGTGTGTCTATGTGTGTACGCTGAACAAATCTAATCTTCTCTGATTCATGGGCAAGCTTGTCTGCATGCATTTGTGATACACTTCCTCTTTGCTTATGTACTCAGTGTAAGAGATGGAGACAGAGAGCGAATGAGAAAGAATGGCTTCTGACAGTAGGACACAGCATGAGCACAACTCTCCGGGACAAAGTCACAAAGCCTTTCTTAGCGGGACCACCAGTTAGTGTTGACAGCGCAGGCTGAGTTCATTTGCTGGCAATACTACTTGTGACACAGTTACATACCCCAAAGACTGAATTATGACTTCCCGGTCCAAAGAGTGCTGAGACACTGCTGCTCTTTGCTGCACAGGCAGTCAATGGGGAGAGGCAAATTCTCATTTTCCTCAAAAGCACAGTTAACAGCGGGGAATGGATGGATGAGCTCCCTCAGCTTTTTGTATTTATTCATACTATGCATTGTTTTCCCTATTTATGGGGATTATTTAAAAAACTTAAAAAAAAATATGGTGATAAAGGAATGATACATCTT